ATGTAACTTCCTGCTCTAGAACTCGCCACGTGTCTTATGAACAGAACCGCTCCCTCCAAATTTGAATTTCAAAATGGCGTAGCAATCCTCCTGCAGAATTTCGGTCGAACTACCTCTGACACGGTCGAAATGCTCATAACTTTAGGTTTCTTAATTTTTCTAAGTTATTTCAACCGTTTAGCTTAGAAGATTCCTTAGAGGCTGTCGAAACCTCTTTGCTTCATTTTACTTAGACATTAATTATGTCTTAATGTTTAGCAACCCAAGGCAGTGTCGAATTTGAGAGCTAACACTATGTAATCAACAAGGCTACAAATAATGTATGTTTTTAACTATAATTGTGTACTAGTATGCCTTTATCGACATTTCTATGCCTGATATACTTTTAAATCCAAGCAATATGTGTATCAGCCCGTTCATAATGACTCAAGATCCACTTTACATAAAAAGGTCTGGTCACTCCATTCATAGAGCCTAGAAAATACTCAGTGGGAAAAAGTCGATAGGACCACAAGAGCTCTCCATTTGGATATAGTGCATGGCTCCCTCAATTCCATTTATGTGATTTGTCTGTTTCATGAAGTTATAAATTAATATGTAACTTTGGTAGGAAAAATGGTGAGGATAGTTGGAGGTTGATATGGAAGTTTAAAGTCACTAAACAAATAAGTTCCTTTATTTGGTTGCTGTATCATGGTAGGATAATGACCAATGAGAGGAAAAATAAAACACAACTAAGAGGAACTTTTGTAGTCATTGTGGGAAAGATATGGAGTCCATTATACATGTCTTACATTACTGTTCTTTGTCTTTTGTTATTTGGACTAATTTGATTAAGTTGGGTATAAGAAAGTCTTTTTCAACAGTAATATTAAGGCACGTTTACAACAAGTTCAAATAGCAAAAGCCAAAGAACAGTAATGTAAGACATGTATAATGGACTCCATCTCTGTTCCACAGTCACTACAAAAGTTCCTCTTAGTTGCATTTTATTTTTCTCTCATTGGTCATTATCCTACCATGATACACCAACCAAATAAAGGACCTTATTTGTTTAATGACGTTAAGCTTCTATATCAACCTCAAACTAACCTCACCATTTTTCCTACCAAAGTTACATATAAATTTATAACTTCATGAAACAGACTAATCACATAAATGGAATTAAGCGAGCCATGCACTATATCTAAATGGAGAGCTCTTGTGGTTCTATCGACTTTTTCCCACTGAGTATTCTCTAGGCTCTATGAATGGAGTGACGGGGCCTTTTTATGTAAAGTGGATCTTGAGTCAATATGAATGGACTGATACACATATTGCTTGGACTTAAAAGTATATCAGGCATAGAAATGTCGATAAAGGCATACTAGCACACAAATATAGTTAAAAATATATATTGTTTGTAGCCTTGTTGATTTTGCATAGCCAATAAAGCCTCAATTTTAGTATTCTTTTTATTCGATCTATTTTCCTCTTCTACCCTTATTCCTTTTATAATTCAGTTTCCTCCCACCTTTCTCGGCGGTTATAAGTTTTATTGTGTTTATGTTGGTTAATACTATTGTCTTTCTATATAAGTGTAATGATCATAACGACTGATAACTGATGCTCCTTTGTCTGAGTCTAACAGTCATAAGGTAATTAGTATTCGTGCTTCTCTGTATGCCAAATTGATCAAGACTTTTATTTATGACTACAAATAGCTTATTTATACTAGGCTTGCATCCCGCTGTTATCTTAAGTCAACCACGAGAGTAGGCAAGCTAATTTAAGGGGTATGATTAATTAAATATGAGTTGGTAGTCAATACTTAGCTTAAGTCGATCACGATACTGAACGAGTTCATCGCCATTCCAAACGATGAGCTATTACAGTTCACTAGACTATTTCCCTCTTAGTCTTCTTCAGGCTTCAAGCATGAAATGCGATGAGTGATTGATGTATAACGGATCTTGATTCAATATGAATATATTGGTACATTTTTATAAATCAAGGATTTTGTTAGTCAAAACAGTTTTTCTGAAATTTTTGCCAAGATTTTAGGGATAATTTAATTTATAGAAAAGCCTATTTTGGATGCTTCCATCGAAATATATCCTAAGTGACTCAAACTATTGATCTAATGTGTTCATTCTATCTTTTTTTTTAAAATCTTTGTAGTAGCTTCATACACCATTTTATGAGTGTCCCACATATCTTTTACTGTACATCTATTTGATACACAAAAGCACTTTTTTGTAGCTAAGATACTTTTTATTAATTACTTAGATTTTAATATATATTGCACTTTTTCTTATATGGTCATAAAATGTCTTCGTTATATTATCACTTTATTATTTACTTAATAAGTAGAAATAAATAAACCATTTCAATCGAATTCAACGTATTAATATCAACATTATTTAAAAACTTTCACTTTCTCTTTCAAATAGTTATACCATTCTAAATGAAATGCAGGAGCCTGTTTAAGGAAATACTCATTTTAAAAGAATTTTTAGTCACCCTTCATCTTGATAAGTTTATTTTTAAAACAATATATATGCTATAATGCCACTTGTTGACCAATTGACTTTAAACATAAGAAAGAAGATTATTGTGATGTCAAAGTTTTTAAAAACTATAGAAAATAAAAGGACTTTTAGATTGATTTTAAGAATAGATGTAAAAGAAGAACAACCAGAAAAGGAAAGAAATAAATAAATATAATAAATTAAAGAGCTGAGAGATAAGAGAATAACACCGAGTTGACTTTAGGTTTAGTCTAAAACCACGAGGCCTACGTATGCTCACCAAGGGTAATACCTTAAGATTTCAACTATCACACAACTTCAAACACAAAATTGACCCACAAACTTATCACACTAAGATTTTATCTCAAGTTGAGCTTGCAACCTTTGTAATTATATTACTTCAAGAGAATAACCCACTCATGTTTTTAAAAATTCGGGATAGTGTTACAACAACACATTACACAAGTTCTAATATTAAGCACTTCCCCTCTCAACACTAAAACAATATTAATTATATATGAAATTTTATAAGCGGTTTGATAGTAAAGGCGAAAATGTTTTTTAGAAAAAAAATTGTGTGTTTTGAAATGAACACAAGACCTCCTTTTATGAAAAGATTTATACAAAATTTGAACCTTTGGAAAGGCTTGTTTCAGTCAATAACCGCTACGATCATAACTGATTCTTCCCTTGCAAATATGTAACATTTTTTTCATAATAGATTCCTAAGTAAATCTCGCCTTATAATCGAGTACACAATTGCCATAATTGATTAGAGGCTAGATTTTTTTCGTAATTGATTATAAAAAATTCCTAATCAATTATACTTGTTTTTACAAAAAGGTTTGACATTTCTGAAGTGATTTTCAAAAGAAGATGAAAAATATGAAGATTTCAGAATTTGTTTTTAGTGTGTGATATAGTTTTGCAATTATAGAGTGACAAAATTAATTTAGGTGTTGCCCTGCGATTCCTTCGTGTACTTCGCCCAAGGTGAGGGTTACTTCCTCTTTTTCTAAAACATTAGTAGGGGAATGGACAATCCTCTTCTATACAATATTCCCTCGATTAATGAGTATGTCTAGCTCCCCTCTTTACAATAATTTCTTTTGATGGGTTGAAAGGAAGTATTTCTTGCTCTATGTTCCCAGCGATAAGTCTCGCCCATGATCTTTATTTGTAATTGTTTAATGCTATCGTCACCATCCTTAGGACATATATATTAGGGTTTCTTAAGTTTTCTTGAATGAATGAATGATTCACACCTGACAATCTTCTACTGGCCAGTTTGGATGAATTATCTACTTTAATGATTTCTTCTCTTGTAATGTGCTCTATCTCGAACATGTTGAACTTGGTTAGTTTTTCTTTAGCTAATCGGATGTAACCATGTAGTGCTAATTTCTCTTTCCCTCTGAGTGATATTGAACATAAATGAAACTAGTAAGAATGACTTGATATCTACGAGTGGTGGTATTTTAAAAGGTTGTACGGGTGAGTGGCTTGGAGGCTTCAAAAGACACTTGAATTCTTGTAATCCATATATTGTTGAACTGAAGTGTGCTAGAAGGACTAATATTAGCAAAAGAATTTGGGTTTTGAGTTATTGAACTTCATATAGATTCTAAAGTGGTTGTTCAAATAATTTTAGATTTTGAACAAAGTAATACAATTGAAATGCAGTTGGTACAAAATTAAACAATTGCTCACACTAAATTGAAATGTACGAGTTTGTCATATTTATCGTGAGTCAAATACTTGTGCAGATACATTTGTCAACATAAGATGTGATCTAAGTGCTAAATTGATATTTTATGAACAAGTTCTTGCTCAAATTTTTTTTTATAATTTTATTAAGTAATTGTATTAAAGTATCTATTCCTAGATTGATTACTATGTAATCATTTCTCTTTGAATTTTGAAATGTTTTTTTAAAAATAAAGTTTAACTTTTCCTTATTATTTCTCGCGCTATATTAGTTCATTTTCATTTTGCTTCATAAAAAAATTCAACCCAAGAGTACAATAATATATCTACTTTAAACTTTAATGGTAGAATCCAACACTCATATTATTATTATTATTATATTAATTATATTAGTGGAAGTTTGTGGCTTTTCTATAATAATAATAATAATAATAATAATAATAATAATAATAATAATAATAATAATAATAATAATAATAATAATAATAATAATAATAATAATAATAATAATGTATAACAAAAACAGGGTTGAGTAAAAAAAAACAGAGGAAGAGTTGGATAGTCTACAATATTTTGTATTGCTTAATCCATATTCACATCCAAACAATCAAGTGTCTAGGAATGAAGCAAATTTATTGAGTCCAAAACAACTAAAAATAACAATGAAAACAAGGTGTACATACATGTATATAAAAAAGTAAAGTATAGAACATCAATCCCAAAAATTGAAACTGTAAATAACTATACCACAAAAAAAACAACCATTCCAAAAAAGCTCAATGTCTAAACCAACAAGTTTACAACAAGAGCAACGAAAGCAGGGAAAGTAGCAACGAGAGCAGTGGCTGAACCCGGTGATGGAGGAGTTGCGCCAGGCTGAGCTGGAGATGACGGGGATGGTGTTCCTCCGCTGGTAGGTGAAGTAGGAGTGGTTCCAGACGAAGGAGGAGTAGAAGAAGGAGGAGTAGGGGAAGGAGGAGTAGATGAAGAAGATGCCGGAACTTTAATGGTTAGCTTTTGGCCACCAGATTGACAATGGGTTGAGACGGTACATATAAAATAGAAATCACCAGTTCTGTTAAGAGTGACTCTTGCTGGTGATGTTGCTATTATGGCATTTGTATTTTGATTCACATTGCAGTTGTCAAAGTCTGCCTTGTTAGTTTCAGCAACAGTGTGCGCACCCGCAAAGAAATTGAAAACTGTAATAATAATAATAATAATAATAGCAGCAGTAAGAAACTATTTGATTGAATCAAATTAACATATGATAGTTTATTCAATTTTCCCATGAGCAAGAAAAACTGACCTAGAACATCGTTTTGTTTGAATGTGTTATTGGATGCCCAGTCGGAGTAAAACTTAGCCCCGGCAGTACTTGTCCAACCTGTTGAGCCTCCAACTGTATGATCTGCTGCTTCTGTTCTTTCTACTATTGTTGCAACTAAACCAAATATTACTAAAATAATTGACATATTCCTTAACACAGACATTCTTTTTCTTCTTCTTAATCTGTGTTTTCAAGTCGCCCCTGTTTGTTTCTGTATTTCTGTTTATCACAAGCCCGCTTGAATTTAATTTGATGATATACCTTCTCTTTTGATTTACTATATATAGACAGAGGATTCACATGCCAGGAACTTTTCTCAGTGCAAGACTGAGTATTTCTTTTTTCTTTAATTAATTAAATTATGATAGGACAGACTGGTTGGATTGGGTCAATATTTGCGTTCTCGTAAATGCATGGAAATGGTCCAGAAGTAGACTTTCAATATGAATATGGACGGAACTTGTCTCTATTATCTCATATTCTTCCCTTTCCCACCAATTCACGCGTACATATTCCTTGTGTTTGAACGTTTAAATTTAAAAATCAAAGAAATTTGAAATTTTATGAAATTCTAAATCTTCACATTAGCAAAATATATACTAAAAGTAACTTAAGCCTAGAACACAGGAGCACACATTTTGATCGGTTCTCCGTAAAAACTTCAATGACAGCCTCCAACAAATTTATTAAATTTGTTGTTTAGTTTCAAGTGATTCAATGTTTTTATCCGTAAAGTTTATTGTTTGGACAAGGTAATTGAATTTTCTTTCTTAAATGATAATTTATTTCATTTTTTAATCAATTAATTTAAATTTTTTTCTCACAGTTCATTAATTTTCTTACTTAAATTCTATTTTTTTATATAATTAACTAAAAAATTCTTTTTATTTCTTCCGGGCCAAGGCCTAATGCGCAAGAAAGTGGATTATCAAAATTTTAAGAAACAAGATAGACCGGGAGATAAACACATCTTCCAAGCACACATGATCAAAGATGATAAATCTTTGTAGATTGTCAAATCACAATAGCCAAAGGATTCTATGACATTTACTCTCTTAAGACAAGGGTCATGCTAACAAATGTTTAGACACTTTTTAAGGATTCTAAATTAAAAAAATATTGCATTGAATATAAGTTTTTTTTTAATAAAAAATATATATTTTATTATTTAAAAAAGTTAATTGTTTTAATTTTAAATACATTAAATATAAGTATTTTTTAAATAAAACATACATTTTTAAATTTGTAACAAGTATATATCATTGGATATCGTTAGTATTTCCCTTAAGATGATTATCCTTAAAAAACATTTAGGACCCTCTAAACTTTAGACTCTGGCTATAAAATTTAGGGGAAAAAAACTAAACTAAGGTAAATATTTAAATTGTTGCGTACTACAAAAGAAAATTTTAAATTTGAGGTTGTTTGTGATTATCTATTGTATCAAAAGACACTTGTAATAGTTTTAAATTAGTAAAAAAACCAACAAATTTTCAATGGTTCATCATTGGAGATTAGATTAGGTGCAATCTGAAGGTGTATTCAATAGAGTTTTGAATAAATGTCGGATCTCTTCGAATTTGTATGTTTTATAATCCCATATTAAAATAGCGGTAACTATACAATTAAATAGATATCATGTTACTCATTTGATATCACTTGATTAAGTGACTTTGAGTTCGTGAAGCAATCTAATATCATTATGTTAATAGTTTATATAATAATAAGTTAGAATTTCAATGTGACTTTATCAATTAAAAATCATAGTCATATTTATGCATTAAAACTCATTTTTCAATTGCATTAGAAATTTTCAAAAATTGAGTGCTTAATTCGAATCAACCTTTAAACCTGATTCGAATCAAAAGTTTGGGAGTTGTGGCATTTTGGGGTTGTTTAAATTGATTTGAGTCAGACATTGCACTTTATTCGAATCACAAACCCAAAGGTCACAATTTTTTTTTGAATTTCTTTAGTTTTTCTTTTAGTTTTTTGTTTCATTTCAAAATCACTTATCTTTTTTTTATAAGCAACAATATATTGATAGGGAGCACTAGGAGTACACCAATCCAAATATAAACTATAATATACACCCTGGATGGGATATTATCCAAGGACTTCAATATTTTCTTATCCCCTTCCTTTCTTCATAGATTTTATTATCTCTGTTCTCCATATCTCTAATGATTCTCTAAAAAATCCCGTCATCTTCTTCTCCTTCCACTGCCAGTTCATTGATAGAATTCCACACCCTGGATGAGATATTATCCAAGAACTTCAATATTTTCTTGTTACCCCGATTAACATCTGAATCACTAATAGATTCATAACACAAAATCGATCCACCTGAGTATTATGATGAACCTCCTTCATTCTTTGATGAATCTAAATTGTTGCAATTCCTAGTATTTTGAATAATAATTCTCCTGACAGGCTGGTGAATTAAGGTTGAAAAGTATGAAGGGGAATAAGGAATTTGATATTGTCATAGATTTCATTAACTAGTTTGATTCTCCTTGGCATGGACCATTCCTTATGACCCATGGGTCTAACCACCGTGCATTAAATTGGATCAGAGCATTCCATATTTGGACCCAATTGTTTATCACGACCCATAACCCGAACATTTGGTTCACAATGTAATGTCGCCTCTTTACCTTTTCTCCCACCTTCAATAACTAAAGTGTCCAACATGTTCTTAGGCTCCTGATTGGATTTGTCTGGTACCAATACTCTAAGATTTGACTTTTCCACTTCCCGTATATTTCCCTCATAAAGTTTTTCTCCACATGTCAAATCTTTGTGCTGCACTTTTTCCCAAGGCTAACATCTGTTGAATTAGCCACCCTACTGCTATTGGAATTAGGCCTTTCTCTACCCTATTGCCTCCCTTGTCCTGATCATCTTCCTTGTCTTTGTCAGACTCATCAAAGTCCTTCCTTGATTCCCACGCCTCTTCGTCTTCCTCCATTTCTGATGAAGAGAGCTCAAATTCACTAACCCTCTCAACTTTCTTCCTCACCACTATTCTCTTCGGCCCATGGTAGTATTCTACTAGTTTTAATCTGTATATTCTTTCATTGATCTCCATATTAATTTCTTCATTCAAGTTTATTGAGAATTTTTTTGATTAGGAATCTAGCCACATCAAAATTCTGTTGATTTTTTATTTCTTCGTCACAACAGATAAACTCTCCCACGCGACAAGATATGAATTTGAAGAATTTTTGGTTCCACGCGTGACATGGGAGACCATAACATTTTATCCAAGTGAGATATTCATTATCAACGTCTGTCGGTGACCACAAATGAATCTCCTTAAACCACTTCACCCAGATCATGTCTTCTTCAATAATTGATTTTAGTTCCCCAACTTCTAATTCTTCAAGAAGACATTTATTAGCCCTCCACGGGGTCACGATTATGTTGAAGAAACCCTTCTCATTAAAAGCATCTTAAATTTTGTATGTAGATCCTGATTTCCCTACCACTCCCATGAAGGCCTTCTGAAATCTCGTCAATTCCTGCTTATTGACATTGAACTGTAGGTGCGCAAAAGAAGGCTTCTCTTCCATTATATTTTTCTTTTCACTTTGATAGTTGATTTTCTTATCAGCTTCTCTCTTTTTTCCCACAACTTCTGCAAATGACATGTCCATAAAACCTTTACTCCCAGTTTCATTACTCTTATATTTTACTTGCATCACTCCTTCTATATTCCTCTTATTCTTGCTTCTTTTAGGCATCTTAGTATTGGAGACTCTATGAAATCTTGGGATGCTTGCAAATATTTTTTCGCCCTCAATCTGGATACTATCTAGCTTAGTAGCCAATAGCCTTTCTTCGTTCACCTTCCGAAATCTCGCAAGTCCATATCTCCTACTTCACTTGTCTCTTTTCATCGGAGTAAAAACTTCTGAAAGCAAACCATAATCATTGAATATTTCTTCCATCTCCTTCGCGTCATACTTCTCTGGGAATTCAATAAAGTAGAATGAAGAAATTTTTTCGCCCATTTCATTATCTTTTCCTAAACGAGCTGTCCAAATTGATAACCTGTTGAAATTTCCTCTCTTTCTTCTCGATACCTCCATCCAACCATCTACAATCTTCCATTGCCTCATACCGCCAGTACCTTACTGAGGAAGTCCCTAATTCGAAGATTAGGACTTTAAACCTCCCCAATGGACACCGGAGAATGAGAAGAAAATAGAGATGATTAAGCAATCACGATGACACTGTGAGTAAGTTGTTCCTGATTTGATCTTGATTGTGGACAAAGAACATTTATTAAAACCCATTTGTGCGAACACCCTCATAACATCCATTATTTATTAATATTTATCTTCAATCATCTCATATCACTAAACATCACTTAATTACATGCATGAAGTTGTTGGTATTCATTTGTGTATAGCATTATTCATTCATGCCTTATTAAAATTGTTTTTCATCTCACATTAACTCTTTTAGCATACTCATTAAAATTCTTTAGTATTTAGAAACCTCAAGTCTCGTTTTTGCATTTCATAAAAGATATTTTTCATGCATTTAAATTTTAATATTTTTGTTTCATGATTCGAATCACAAGACATCATGATTCGTATCAAGACCTCTTCATTTTTCTTGAAAAATAATGGTTCATTTGATTCAAATCACACCGCCATTTGATTTGAATCACATGTATACCTAATCTGAATCATAACTTTCAATTTTGAATTGTAGCACATGTTTCTTTAGTTTTCATTCAATCATTTCATTTCATCATTAAAACCTTTTTCGAAAAATATTTAATTTTCTTTCATTCATATCATTTGATTGTGTTACATGTGCATATCATACTACTTACATTTTGATCATTCATTACTTATTTTCATCTACATCAAAATTATTTGCATATTATCTTTACATTTTTGTCAATTGGTATCATCGTAATTGGCATCGTATGTTTTGACTCCATATTTTTGCATTTATAAGTTCATTAAGTGCATCCTTTGATCATGTGCATGTTGACATTTTTGTGTGTGTTCATGCATTATTTATCCTTTTCCAAGATGTTTCCATTTTTCTTTTGTGGCTTATGGGTTATAAGATAGTGTTGTAGCAATCTCTGTTGAAATCGAAGATGTGCATGTCGTAGTCGAAATCTATTCTTGCATGCTT